TTATTATATGTTAATTAAAACTTTCTCTTATAAATATTTGAAAAGAAAATTATTGCAAAAATATTATCAAAAAATTAATAATATAATTCATATTTATATAATCTAATTATATAAATTATTCTAAGATAATTATCCAAGAGAGTGACTAAAAATGTTTTAATTTTGATAATTTATTTACATTTCCTTATTGTATTGATTAATCTATAATTTAAAACAAGTAATTTAGGTTCAATTTTATTTTAACCCCTTTGTATATGTCGAAAATATAACATTCCACATAAATAGTTATAGTTCCCAAAGTATTATAGATAGAGCTGCACCTTTTTATTTTATAGGTGAGAAATTAAACTACACATTGATTCTTATTTGTCTTTTGTTTTAATGCAAAATAATAACTGTTTTACTCTAACTCCCCCATATATTGTTTTAAAAGTAATACCAATACCAATATCATTATCAATATTATTTAAGAATTAATTATATAATTATATTTTATTTTTGCATTTACTAAATTCATTTTGAAATCGTTTCGAATGCAAAATATATTTGTGCAATTACTAATTTAATAATTATTACTTTAAAATAATTAAATCAGGCGCGTACGCAGGAATTATGTCTGGGGGGGGGGGGATAATAAAATTTTTTAAGAAATATTATTGTTTTTTAAAAATATCAAACATAAATTTATTAGGACTAATAATAACTATTTCTAATACACAATTTTAAATTAATGTGAATTATAAAAAAATTATATGTAAAGAATCACTTAAATGACCCAAAATAGAAATTTGAATTTTTTGAAACTTTACTCAAAATGTTTCTTAAGAATAATTGTATTTTGTATGTTATATATTTACAATGTAAAATCCAATCTTGGTTGGGATTGAGCTAATTTTTCAATTATCTCATCCTTGCTTGTTGTCAAATGTATGAACATTCAAAAAATCCAAACCTTTCAATCTACTTTCAGATGTTGTACTTCTTGGTATGTTTTTGGGAAGTATTTTAATTTTTTTAAATATACCCGGGCCGGGCCTGAATTTTTTTAAAAACACACCCAAGCCGGGCCAGAATTATTTAAAAAAAACACCCAGGCCGGGCTGTATTTTTAAAACACCCTATATTTGAAATCGTTATTATTAGCTATAATAATTAAAAATAAATATAATTTATTTTTAAAAAATCTGGGCCGGGCCTGAAAATCTTTTAAAAAAAACCCAGGCCGGGCCGTAAAAACTTTTAAAAAATGGTACTACTGCAGGCCTCTGTTATTCTTCTTAAAAAAGAGAATGTTCTCTCATTATTTTACTAATGGGAAGAGTTTATTAACCCTTTTAATACATTGGGAATTTATTCTAAAATGTTGAAATAATGCAGAGCATCCATACATTTTTTGGGACTATATCAACCATAGTTAATCTTATAAACATAGTTATTCAGCTAATAAGGTATCAGAAAATACTTTAACATCTTCATGATAAAAATCTAACAAATATTTTTTTTTCTATCACCATCTGAAAAAGGTTGGGAAGGCTTTTGTGGAATTAATATTTGCAGATTAGTAAGTGCTGCATGATGAATTAAAAATTTATTTATTTGGGTTATAAATGTATCTGTATCTAAGATAAACTCTTCTACTGATCCTATATTAATGTTTTAACGAATAGCTTGCCTTGCTACAAGCCGAGGGAGACAAATATTAAACACGTGTCTCTGCTTTTGACCAACGATAAAATATAAAATATGAAATTCTTCATCAACATTAGCTCTAATTTCCCTGAGTTCTGATAAAATGCTCTCCGCTATTGTCAATGTCATATTTTTAAAAAAGTAATACATATTAAGGTTGTATAATTAAATAATACATTCTAATGAGAAATAAATATAAATATATTATAATATATCATGTTTTAAAGCATAATTTGATTAATCCGATTAGCACTGATTCTACTAGCCTCTTGATATAATTAATACCTTATAAAAATATATTTATGATATATGATTATAAAACTTTCTGAAATGCTTCAAATAATGTCAATTTTATATTTTTAAACTCTTCATATTTTAATGCCACCTAATATTGTGGTGTAAAAACATTTTGATTTTACATAAAAAACACATTTTGTCATAAATAAATTTAAAAAGCTATGGAGTATAAAATATTTATCGTTACAAATATATATATCATACAATGTTACATAATTTAATTTCTAAACATGTCTGGTTTTAAATAAAATCCAATGAACCGATAGACCTCTTGCGTTGACTAGCATTCAGAAAGCACTATAGAGCTAATAATTTAACAGCTCGATGCATGATTCTTCAACCATTAAAAACTATTGCCGTATAACTATATTCTGATCTCATGGTACAAAGGCAAACATATATGTTAGGACCTGCCTCTATCATTATTTTTGCCCATTCTCATAGCAATTACGATACACTTAGATTGCTGAGTGAAGGAAAAGTAAAAAAATATTATTACAAATCTGTCGTTAACAAATTCGTCTCCCGTTCTTTTGGGGAATAGGCTAAATCTATCTTTAAATTTATAAGTCAAAGGAGTCCTAAATCTAACAACTTCAAGAACCTTTCAAGTTATGCAAATAGTAGGCTATAAAGTAATCCGTTTATATATCAAATTATTCAAGCCATTACCATAAGAAGACGAAAACTTATAATTATACTAGACCTTTATTTTCAAATTCAATTAAAAATACAAATATTTAAAAATAATAATAAGATAAATTTTGATTATAAATATTTATTTATGTTAAAAAAATAAAAATTTGTAATATAAAAAAAAATCCAAAATTAAAAAAAAATAAGGAAGAAATATATCGTGAAACAATAAGGAAAGTAAGTCTGGCAAAAAATATTTTGCTTTAAGGATAGCTGTGGCCAGCATCTGTCTGAGGAAGACAACGAGGATCTCCAGTACTGAAAATATGAAATCATAAATCTTTGAAGAAGAATAATGCGAGCTTACCTAAGAAAGTTAAGGTAGTGGATATTATTGGACTAAGATATTTATTTATTTAAATTTATATTTATTTTTCAAAATGCCCTTTTTATTTTTTTTACATTTTCAATATTTTTTTACAATTTTAACGCTATATAATTATCTTAAATATTTGTAACAAATAAATAAGCTCCATATGTAAAAAAAAACAAAATAAATAAAAATAATAGGGGACAGGAATGGTTGGGGCATTTTTAGTTCAAGCCTGAATAGATTCAATAAATTTAGACTGATAAATAAATAAAACATCTTCTGGATTCTAAAAGTATAGGCTATTTGAAATAATTAATATATATTTTATGAATATACTTTTTTTAGAAAATTGAATATTTTTTTGGCGGAGCTATACAAATTTATGAGTATGTTGGGACATCTAGTGATGGTTAGTCTACACATAAAATAGAGTTCTAAATATATAATTGATTTTTTATTGTTGTAATACTAGAGGTTTTAGAATAAATTAATTTATTGATAATGTCATAATATGGAATAATTAAGTAAATTAAATTGAATTTAGCACTTTTAAAAAATTTTAGAAATTTTTGTAAAAAAAAATTAAAAAAAATATTATTGATAAATATTAATTGAAAATTATTTGCATTAGTTTTAATCAAAATAAAAAAATATGCAATAATATAGGACCAATTATCCTATGAGTATAGTATGACCAACCATGACCTAACCCACTAACTTTATAAATGTTATTCAGAATCATATTTTATGATTTTGAATTATCAGATTAAAATATAGGGTATAAACTTTCCAAAAAATTAATTATTAAGATTTTAAAAGCTTTATTATAAATCTAAGCGATAAAGTTTGAAATTATTTATTGTTACTTTTGGTATGCTAACACATTTTCCTCCGGAAAAATCAAAATACTAAATATATTTATTAAATAATGTATGATGTAATTCTCTATAGACGTAAATTTCCAGTCTTATAAATTAATGGCTTAAATTATAATTGGAGGGGATTAAGGTGTCCCTGTTCTCAACGTGCCCCGGTTTCTCTTACTTATCATATATTTGTATTGTTAGCGGTAAGCCAGCACTTATAACCCATATCTGAGATTTTCTGGGGTCAGGTAGATCCTATCAAATTTTGTAGTCTATATCAATCGTTTCAGTAAAAAAAAATGGCCTGAAAAAATATCCCGACAGGGTACCGCACCTTGACACATGTTATTACCTACGACAATGAGCTAATCCTGCTAAAATAATAAAATGTAGATATAAAAAGATTTTTTTCTTCGTTAAATCATAGTGTTACAAATAATTTATTAAAAATATAATGTTAAAAAAATTAATATTATTCGGTGGGTTATACACAGGGGATTTACCAATTTTATATATTAATTTAGTAAATTAGTTTTTTAAAAAATATCTTTCTTAATGTATGTTATTTATAGATATTTAATAACTTATTATAAATAGTATATATTTAATCTCACAAAAAAAGGTTAATAAAAATGTCAATTAGCTACATCATAGAGAGAACTGCTATAAATTACACATTTTAATTATAAATTAATTAATATAAATGCTTTTTGCAAAAACAAACCTCATAAATTACATTAGGGGAGACTTGGATAAAACGATTGATTGAGTAACAATGTTAATGCGAATGTATTTATAACCATTTTGACCAATTTACCTTGTTGCTTATCAAATTTACCCGGGGATTGAGGTAATTTGGCGAAAATGTCACACTTCATGTAATTAATTAAAGCACTGTATAAGTATTTTAGGTAGAGAGCTACACTTTTTATTTTATTTTGTAGATAAGGGATTTGGTTGCATATAAATCCATAACTTGTATGTTTTGTTTTTCTTCAAAATTTATGGCGAAAATGCAAAATACCAATCGTTTTACCCCCTAATACTCATTTTAAAATTTTTTATTTGATTTACAATATAATTATAAATTCATTTCTTTTTTTATATAATAAATTGTAAAATGTTCTATAATCGTTGATAATTTTTTTTTAACCTATTTATGATCTTTTAGTTATAACCAACTGGTATAACTAGGATAGGTCACCAGCAGAGAAAACAAAATCTTTTGGGCACCCGATTTTTTTTCTTTGAACTACCCTGCCCACTTACAGATCAAAAAAATGCAAATGCTATTGTCATTAATTATTTTTAAAAAAATCAAAACATTGTCCAGAAAACATGAATCGCATCCTTTTATTCTAAGTTGTAAAATATTATTTAAATCTATTTGACAATAAATCTATTTTTTTATAAGAATAACGTAATAAACCAGAATAGAAATATCAAGTAATAGTTAAATCATTTCATAGGCGTATTCAGGTATGAGGAGGGAGGCTCCTAAACCTCACCTTAGATGGCCTTCGGCTAACTTTAGCTCATCTCCGGCTGGGTCATTGTTTTTATCTATTATAATAATCATAAGATTATTTTTAGCTTTTATGTATTAATTAAACCTTAAGGATTTTTTAAAAATAAATGTTTATAACCCAATTTTTTAGTATTTTAATTTAGTAATAAATATTTTTTAAACATAAATTACAAATAAATTTAAGTTGTATAATTATTTTTGAAATTTTCTTTAAAAAGGTCTCGCCTTATAGAAAATTCTCATAAAATATAAGTAGAATAATTTTTTTAAATTAAATATACTAATTGTAATATGTATAAAATATTGACTAATAATAAAAACAAATTTTTATATAAAATTATTATATAAAAAATATTAGACTTATTATAATGTTATTTTTAATTTTCGCTTGGAATCTGCGAATTCATCAGAATATCATTGTCGTAGGAGCCATATCCTTGTGAATATTTAAAGAGCTAACCCAGGCCAACGGAAGTAGTATTTTATAAATATGTTTTCAACCTTTTAAGTTAGAAAAGGTCCTCCCATTTATATATGTTGTAACGGGCAAGCTTGCAAGAATATAAAACACTTCAAAATATTTAAAAATTGGGCCAAAATTTTTTTATATTGTGCCCATCAATAACCTGCTTGGATAATATCCAAACCAAATTCAGTAAATATTCAAGCCACAATTCAAATTCACTTATTAAATCCCATGTCAATATAATATGAATAAAATTTTGTTAAATATTTTATTTTACCAATAGTGACAACAGAAAACGTGAAAGGGTCCTTAAATAATAAAATGTGAATGTTAAAAACTTCTCTTTTATCTAAAATGCATAGTTTTATTCGTGATAAAAAAAGTCCTAAAATGGGATGAATATAATATTCTTTAATGGAATCAACATTTGCTGCATTTTAATAATAGCTTAGGCACAAGTTGATGTTTAATTAAGTTAGGTCATAAGATTTGGCTTTAGATTCAACATTTAAATAAACCTAATGAAAATATTGATTTACATTTATCCTTATTATATTTATTTGTTCTTATTATATATATTTTCAGTTAAATAAATCACCTGAACCAAATCAAATTTGGTTTTGTAGATTTATACATAGTACTGAGATATAAGAAATTAATTAATATAGCTTACAGCAAGGCCTGACCCATGAAGATCTTTGTAGTAACTGCACGGAGTGAATTTGGGGGCCAGCCCAAGATTATTTTAACCCTCCCCAAAAATTATAGATTTTGAAAACAATGGCAGACAATATAAAGAATTTTTTTTTGCCAAAATAAGAAAAAAATGTTTTTGGCAAGAGAAAAATTGTCAAAATTGGCATTATAGAACGGAAAATATAGAAGAAGTTCATATCTAGTTTGGACAGTATTTATAAATTCCCCAATCAGTTTCGAACCACAAAAAAAGAAATAGAGTTATAAATAAATTAAAAACTATGACAATTTAAGCGTGAAGTAAGCCAAGTTTTGGGCAGATAACAATTCTGGAATTTATACCAAACCATTAAGTAGTGCCTACTTTATATACGGCTTTTAATTTTTTGATAGAGAGTAAAGAGAATAAAATTATTTGTAAAATAAGAAAAAAGTTGCATTTCTAATGCCTCACTACTATAATTCGTCAATCAGTTTTTCCATTCAATAAACAGAAACTAGTTATATGCAAAATGACTACTCTATACTTGATATATTGCTAATATGTATGTAAATAGTTAGAACCAAAAAAAATTGTTCTTAATTTTTGAACTTTAATTTTTGTAAATGTCATTTGAAAATTGGAATTACAGAAGTAATATTAACTTTTTTTCCTTATTAGTTCTTCCATAATTTAACTGAATATATCTAGTATGTTATATAATAGAGAAAGAAAGGGCATATATTATTATTTTTTAAATATAAAATTAATAGTAGCCTTAAACATAAAACTCGATTAAAGATAAATAAATAAATCGTAAAAGTTATAGATACCAAGACAGTAACAAAGTGATTATAGGGAAGAGAAGTAGATGGAGGGGCATGGGAGATTATTCTATGGAAGAGATAAGGCTTAGATAGATGGAGCGATAATTGCGATAGTAGGCATTTGTAAGAAGAGAGATTTTTAGTTTCTTCACATATCTGCCTCCCAATTCAAAAACACTTAAGCGTTGCTACCAAAAGAAGTTAAAAGATCATTGGAACTATATTTGATTATTTCCAAGACTCGGCAGTGCGAGGAAATCGCTTGAAAATATTTTTTTCTAAAACCGGGATATACCTTAACATCACCATATAGGAAATCGTCATAATTAAAATTAAATAAATTAAATTAATCTAACTTATATTAAATTATTGATTTTATGCACTCTTTTTACTAGATATCTTATACAAAAAAATTGTTTTATTTTTTAATATACATGTAAAATATATGGATTGTGTAAAGATGATATGAAATATTAGATATTTAATATTGCCTCACAATATATTATCACTTTTCTAATAAAACATTCTAGAATAGAATCATAATGTCAGAGGTAAGCAGGCTTTAACATAGAAGGAGGGGGGTATGGGCATTTTTTGGAATAGTACACTAAAATTTTCCCTACATACTTCCCATGACTAGTGGTTTACTGATTTACTGATTTAATATAATATCAATTTTATTTTTAAAATATGATGGTTATTCAGCGGATGATAGCTAAATTAAGATAAATAATAATTTTAAAAAAATACCATAAATACAATAAATTATTTTGAAATTTTATTGGGGAAGGGGGGGGGGGTGGTGGATATAATTTCATTTCCAAGATGTGCTTGATAAAGTTTACAATAAATTTTCATATTAAATCAATATCAATAAATAATTGTCAAATTTCAAACACTTAGTTAATTAGATATTTATAGAAAATATATATTAAAAAAATCTGTTGGTATATAAAGGAGTATTATTTATGATTTCAATTACCTTAATAATTAAAAATCGTACCTTTTTAATTATTTTTTTGAACAATAACGAATGTTTATATAATAAAAAAATGGTAATAGGAAAAAAAACCCACCGGAAAAAAATTCCCGGAACACCCCCTTAAATATTTCAAATAAAATTTTTTTTTAAAATCAAATTTGACGCTCATAAATAACACTTTTTGAAATTCTCTCACAAAATATAGAATCTCTTCCACGAAATCTTTTTCAAATCGAAAATCGAAGAGTGATAGGAAATTATTAGGGATGCTTCATAATTATATACGGGGGTTGGATAAAGTAAGAGGGAGGTAGTTGATATTTTTAAAGCTATTATTGTGTACTTCAAAAAAACGTTAAATACTTACGAAAAAATATTCGAAATAATAATGTCTAAATGTCAGGAAAGGATTTATTTCCTGACATTATATATATATACATGATTTCGAAAAGTCTGCTATGAACACGGTTAAAACTATCATTGGTAGTTTATATTTATTTTTTTAATTAAAGAATCACATCATAATTAGAGGATGCCTTTACCATTTGTGTCAAAGTACCTATTGAAACATTCAGAAACTAAATACAGAAACGATGAAACTCTAAGCTTCTTTTGGCATGATGAACGGCTTAGCATTTGTCTCCTTATGTGATATCACCAATGCAATGACATTCTTGAGATCAATTACTCCGAGTCCGAACAATGGTAAGAATGCTTCTTGATTATTTTGATAAAATTTATACCAAGGGAGGTGTAAGAGGCAACTCTCAATCCCAGACATGTTAAATTGAGGGTTTCCTCTGGAAACCTGGAACATGAATGATCTATGAATGATCTATGAATGCACAAATAATCAATGTGAGGATCAACGCTTTTCTAATCTGATCGGAAATAAACACCCATCAATTATTTCATGGGGATATTTTTTTCAACCACTTTGAACATCATCATTTTATTTTGTTTAAGCATTTTTTATGTAGGATATCTGAGTAACCTTCTAATAATGAATTAGCATCATTAAAAAAATTTTAGCTTATTAATAAAATATGTTTTTATAATATTTTTTTTGATTTAAATATTATAATTAAAATATTAATTTTTCAATACCTTATAAAGATTATGTATCCATTATATTGTAAATAAAAAGATGCCTTTAGTATTATGTCTTAAGTAAATTTCATAAACATAAAAAAATTCTGGGGTTTTTTTTCTGGGTGTTTTTTATCGGGATTATAAAAATACCTTACTTATAAAGACTTGATCATAAGAATATTAAGGCAGTGATCAAAAAAATTTAAGTAAGTTATAGTTAACTATTTGATTTTGCCGATGCAAAATATTAAGTATTTATATATATATTAACCTGATTTGTGCATCTAAATAGTATTTAAACACCCAAATTTATAATAGTTCTCATTTATAATCAGAAACCTATAAAAATTAATATTATGTAATACATTTACATTTACAATCATAATAATATTCACTATAATTTATCTTTGCATATAATAGTATCAAATTATTACATCCCAATTTTAGAAAAAAGTAAATTATTTTTATTTTGCTTTCGTAATCCTATTGAAAGATATAACTAGCCTTTTTCGGAATTGCTTAGAAACAAAAGCATACAGAATAGGATTGATAGCGCTTTTTAAGTACAAAAACAAATAACTTATGGGCACGCATAAAATGTACATGGGAGTCATCTTAATGGGGAATAAATGACGTAAATGATAAGGTAACACGCAAATTGTGAAAGATATTACTAATATTATCAATAATTTAATGACATTTCTACGAGACTGTAACATATAATAAGAACGATTTTTAGATATTTTTGATAAAACCTGGTGTGTTTGTTGAATAGATGCAATGCTCTGCTTACTTCTTGTATTCAACGATAATCCTTCATTAATCAGCAAGCGCGAAGATTGGTTATCAAATATATTTGTGTCTATTTTATTTTTTTCATTTTTGGCGTGAAATTCTTGCATATTTTTAAAATGTGTCAATTTAATGGACGAGTTTTCAAAATTAGTATAACTTTTATGGCCATTCCTGAAAATCATTCGATTGAGGGATTGAATTGGAATCCTACTTTTTTTCTGCCCTATTATAAATATGATGTGAATTACTATGAATATATGCTAATATTTATGTACAATTTTAAGTAACTAACACAATTAGAGGGCAAATAAATAATTTACTAATTTTTTTATAAGACGATTTACATTTAACTATTAATTCATCATACAAGTCTTTTCAAAAATCACTATATGATGATTTTATTGCAGTCGGGTTTTACTGAGATCTCTGACAAAAGTTTAGCATTATGGCAATATTTAATTATCAATACATAAATGTAGACACCTATTTTTTTATATTTAAAATCTTAATCTTGCTTGAAGAATATAAGAATCTTTTATCATAATCTTATGATAAATCGTTAGGGGCATATAAAAGTAATATTAATAATTATAATAGGCAAAGAATTAATTGTATTAATGAATTATAAGGAAAGAAAAAATAAATTTTAAATTGAATTATATGGAAATGGGCATGGATAACAAATTGAAAAAATATAACTCAGAATTATACAATTATAAACAGACGATACTTTAAAAAAAAATTAAAGAAGAAGAATAATAATAATTTGTATGAATTGCATGCCAAATCACACTAATAGTGTTGTTAAATGCTCGATTTGAAACGATTTTCAAAAACGTCAAATCAATATTTTAAGAAGAAAAATATTATGCAAACCTGAAGACTTTGATCACAAGTGGCACAAAGGTTTGGACATGTATTAACAAAATCTTGGGGCTTAGGCAATACTTTTCTGGCTAAAATATTTAGTTAGCTATTTTTAAAAATCGGCTCAAATCGAGCTTAACAACACTACCAAGAATCTTGGTTTTCAACCAAATCCTTTCAGATATTTTTTCAAACTTCATATAAGATATTATATCACATAGCTAAGAATTTTTTTTTATTTTTATACTCCAAATAGGGGTTAAGATATTTCGCCAAAATTTGGTAAAATTAAATTCATTTAATTTTAAATATCTTTAGATTTAATTATTTTATTAATATAATAAAATATTTTATAATTTTAGGCCAAATCATACCAAGAATTTCGATTCTCAACCAAATCCTACCAGATTTATTTCAAATTTCTTGTAAGATTTATATATCTTCAAATTTCTTGTAAGATTTATATATCATAACTAAAAAAAACTCTAACTATAGGGTTGAGATGACAAAATTTGTAAAAATTTAGTCCCATTTAATTTTAAATATCAAGATTTAATTATTCTAATAACATAATTTAATTTTTATTATATGGCCTATTAGTAGGTCTTCAAAATAAAATATTGTTCAATAGGTTTGAATAATTTGGTCAAAAATCAGAAGTTAAATAAATGGGGGTGACAATCTTTTTTTAAAATTTTATATAAATATAAGACTAAATATTAATTTTGCAGTTTAGGAATTAAGAGGGTTCTAATAAAATATTAGAACTATAAAAATTTATTCTATTCATTGTAAATAAAAGATTCTCACTATATAACATTTATTTTATTTTCTCCAAGAGGAATAAAAGGAAGAACTTTTGTGTTTCGTGAATAGGCTTAAAACCTTTCTAAATTTAGTTCTTAAGTCTTCTCAAATTGATTGTTTACAAGTATAATATAATAAATGTTAATATTTTTGGTAAAATGTATTTCTTCTTATTTCATGTTAATTTATAAAATATTTATTTCATTTATAAATCTAGTTCATTTGCGCTCTTCTTTATTAATATTTAAAATTGTGATATGATTCCGTCGTTGCTGTTTCATCGTAGAACGTAAGATTTAAGACCTGTTAGTCATAAAAACAATCGTTTAACTGAACAAGCAATTAAGGGAATTTTTAATAGCATTTTAAATTTTTTTACATGCTTTGAAATAATCGAAATAATTTCTTTCTTACTTTGTTCTTTTAACATAGTTTGACATTCTATAAAGAGTTTATATATATTATTCTAACTTTGAATATAGTCCAAAAACATATCTTTAGGAAGATCAGACGATCCATTTTAAAATCAAATAAAACATGATTTCAATCAAGCTTTTGAATCGCAAATTTCTCCATATTATTTATACTGGTTTGTTGAAACTATTTTTTATACTTTCAATTGTATGATCTAAAGCTTCTTACTAAATTTTTATAATATTCAGTAATTGACACTAATTAATGGAATGATAAATTAAGAGTCCTCTTCAAATCTTAAAGGCATTTTTTTCTATCGCTTTAAAATATAAATTTAATTTCTATACCTTTATTAAATTCAATCCAAAACTATCAATAAAAACCAGGGTTTCGAACCGTTTTGTATAACGGTTCGGTTCGTTCCGGTTTTTAGTTTAAAATTTTATAAAGGTTTTGTTCCATTTCGGTTTTTTAAAAAAAAATCATATCGGTTCGGTTCTGTTTATAATTTATAACGGTTCTTTTCGGTTTGTTCCGGTTTTTATAAATTTAATTTAAAAAAAAATTAATCTATAACCATGTATATATTTTTAGAGAAAAATCTTTTTAGTTTATAATTTCTTATTTAATTTATCCATGATAATCTAATAGATATTTTTATTAAATTTAGGAAATATAAATTAGACAAATTAGTTTTTTTTATTTCATAAATAAATAAGATAAAAACAAACATGCGTAAATACAATAATGAATAAAATAATATGTATACTATACTATTTAGGTTTAAAAAGAGAATTCGAACGGATAACTAAATATTTTCTAATATTTCAGGATTTAATTTTGTTCTCTGCGAAGAGAGTATAAACTTAAGGCTTGAAAATGCTCTTTATACGGAGACCTGCATAGCTGGAACTGCTAGCACAGTTATAGCTAACTTATAAAGTTCTGGCATACTATTCTTTACATTTTCCCAATAATTCAAAAGATTAGTATCTTTTTCTAATCTCTCTATATTATCAAATGACCGAATTATATATTCTATTTCTATACATTTATTATAATTTTCGATGCCCTGAGAATTATTCTTATTAAGACTTTCATGCGACTTTAATAAATCTTCAAAATCATCATCTAAATTATCCTTCGAATACGAACACGTAGTAGTATTTAGAATTTCAATATTCTGATTATTTAGATTTTGTATCAAGTTCCAAGTTTTACAAAGATGTTTTCTGGCGATCTCTCTTTCTTCAAAAGTTAAAAATACATTATATCTAGGGTCGAGATAAATAGCAGAGCAAAAAACTTCATTTTTGAAATTTATTTCTCGTGCTTTCATCGTAGAAACTAAAAGTCTGACAATGGAGTGTCTACTTTACTCGTTTGCATGAGACATTTGATCCACGCAGCATAAAAATCGCCCATTGTCAATTGTTCACTTTGTAAATATTTTGTCAAAACATAAGCATAAAGCTTTTAATATGTCACTAATTATTTTAAGATATCTTATTTAATTAACAGATAAATTGTCTAATCTATATAAATTAAGTATTTAAAGAAAAAACAACAAACCTGGTATTATTTGATATATAATGTTGATAATATAAAAATATTTAATTTGATATATAATGTTGATAATATAGAAATATTTAATTTGAAAAGAAATCACCAATTTAAAAAATGCCCCCAAGGAAAATAAAAATTTTAAATTTAGGTTAATAATTTAAAATTAATTATTTTTAAAACCGTTTTGAACCGGTTTAAACCGGTTCAAAATATTTATAACGGTTCGGTTCGCTCTTTTAATATTTTCTTCATAACGGTTCGGTTAAGGTTACGGTTCAGAAAATCATAACGGTTCATTCCGGTTTTGCGGTTCGGTTCGGTTCGAACCCCTGATAAAAACCGTCGTATTGCATCTAAAATTTTGATCAATTTCTATTTTATATTTAATATTTTGGAAAAATTTAATAAAAACCTTTGGATTTTAGCATTTAAACTTCTACTCCCTCAAATATTGTTGTCATCAAGAAATAAAAAGTCTTCTAAAAGCCAATAAATTTTTCTCTTGCAGCAACCTCAATTCGAAATGTATTTTTAATTTCATAATGATTCTTTTAAAATTCTTTTCATTCGCAAATTATTCATTACACCAACGTGTAGGGAATAATGACATTAAAGAAGTTGAACTATTCTCATCTTGAATGAAACGAACTATACCCATGGTTGTGAGAATCTCGAACAAATGATAATAAATCTTTTATTAACACTATAAAATCATAAATTTTGGCAATGGTATTAAATGTATCCATTGCCACGAATAATATTTGTTATATTTTATCCATCAATTTTAAAATTTTATTCAATCATATAATTATTCTTTCTCATTAAGTTTTAAAATAAATTACAGGTTTGGGTTTATGTTTAGGCTAACTCTTTGAAGATAGTTTACCGTGTTGATTGAAAAATAATTTTAATCTTTTGAACAATATTTTATCCCTCCTATATGATTTAAATTATGTTTTAAACTTAATAATATCAACATATATTTATAATTAAATGGAATAAATTTTACAAAATTTTATACATTCCGGACCCATATCTCACTCTGTTGAAGGTGAAGGCTAAAATGTTTTTTCTAAAGTTATGATTAAAAATCGACATGAATCATTAATTAGACAAAAAATGGATCTAGATTAATTTCACTTTGAATCTCGCAGGACTCTACTTTTATTTTTCTTTATTTCTCATAACTTTTCCGCTTCGTAGAAATATCTGAATTTTTCAAGTCCAATAAAAAATATCGCGTTTGGGCTTGGCATATTTCTAAAATAAAATTTTGAATTGGAATTGGATCTTTGATATTTTTTTCCGATTGGTTAGAATTTATCTAATTATTTCTCAGATCAGACATGAAATAGAACAAATTCATTTTGATACATACTACCCCCACAAAAAATTTCGAAGAGGGTCGAGTTGAGATATAAGTGAATTAGTGTGACATTCCGCAACAATAAAACCAGTTTCGAATAAAAAATGGAACAATCTGACATTAGCATTAATCAGAGCCCTACAAACTATAAATCATATTAATACACCTTATTATATGAATCAATAATCTAAAAATGTGTCTTATCAATCACAAATAAAAGATAAAAGTTACCGATATATGAACGCCTATTATTGAATTTATAAAATTTGTATTCCCTTATATTCTTATTGTTGCGACAGGAGAATAATGGCTTGCTTAGTATATATGCTAATTTTGAATATAGAACTAGCATGAAACCAACTGGGATCATATACCATATTATAAAATTCATTATGTCATATAATTCCCAATTCATTTTAGTTATGCATATTTTTTCACCTTCTGAATTATATAAGTTTTCAACTACTAGTCCATAATCTTCATCGACTATTTCTTGCGAATCATTCAAAACAATTATATGGTTGCTATAGTACTTAGAAATATTATTATAATTCATACCTAAGGATGTCGAAAAAGGAATATAACTGAGTTGGAAGAATAATAGCTTAGGTATATTGTAGATTATCGTAATAATCCAAATAATCAAGATAGTATACAATTTGTGGGAATTAAATAATTTGACCTTGATTGATAAGGGGCAAGCTATAACTAAATATCTCTCCATCGTAATTATCATTAATAGGACCACGGATAAAGTATAACTGGTTCCGTGTATAAAAGCGTAAATTTTACATACTAATTCGTTAAAATGCCAGACTCTCCAGATTTGGTAATACATATTAGGCAGGATACAAAAAATACCCACACTTAGATCTGATACAGCTAAGTTGAGCAAGAAAAAATGGGTAAAATTAAGTTTGACTTTGGTAGAACTAGCTATGACAAATATCTCTAATATATTTCCTAAAATAATATAAATAAATTAATTATGATGCAAATTTTTTTACCTATAATACATATGGTAAATACCAATGTGTAACAAAATACGAAAATATATTTAACATGTTGATCTAACAATGGATCGTAGAAATTTTTCATTTTGGTGATATATACAATTAAATGGTAATAAAAAATCAAAATTATATCATATCTAATTTATTTATTAACACGATTATAATAAATAAATATATAATAATTTTAAAATACAAATATTCCATTTGTTTGATAAATAATGGTACATTCATCATGTATAATTATCATGTAAGAACACATTGCGGCTTTATTTATATTTCTATATTTTAACGAAAGAAATTATTTTCAAAATAAAACTACATAAATTAGAAACTCATTCAGATTCTATTAATCATTGACATCATTACAATAACCTAATAATAACTTTTATAAAACGAATCCTATTATAACTATCAAGAAAGATACAATAGGCAAATAAAGAATCTAAAATCTACTTTTTAAAGAAAAAAATAAATATTAAAAAAAAATATTTATTTATCTGGATAGATCTGCCTATAAATTTGTTAAAAACTTTCCAGGGTTTAAATTCTTCTCCCCACAATTATAATAAAGATAATAGGATCCTCATAATCATCAATAGTCGAATATCAAACGATTGAATGCTTTAAATATTGAAAGTGTTGAAGAAAAATGAATAATAATAAAGATAATTTGTGGAAATTCGGAAACTCAATTTTAAATAATTTGCAGAAGTATATAAATTGAAAAATCTGATTTAAATACAATAAAAATTTCAGAAAATTATAACAATTTGTATAGTTATCTTGGTCAAATAGATTTTTAAGGTGAGAGATTCCGAATCACCATCAATTCCATATCCAACATGTGTGATTGAGCATAGTGCAGCTTCAGATATTGAAAATGAACATTCGTTCAAGTTACATTCTAAAGTTATCAATTTGACCATTGAATTTTTTTTAAAATTTTCGAATAATTTAAAATAATTCTGATTATAAAGTTTTTTTTTCCCTCCTTCGAAAAATAACCATATCTTATAATCTCCCTTTTTCTTCTTTAGGAAATAATTGAGAATCCATTATTTGATCAGACAAAGTGAAAACACAACTGCAAAACTTTCTCTTAAACCTCTTGTCATTTGTAATCTAGGATGATAAATATCCTAAATATTTATTAATCTTTATTGATTTACTATATTCATTTTTTTAGAGATTATATAGTTATATCTATTTAAATATTTAAATGAGTGTAAAGCATTTTATAAAAAAGTTAAATAAACGAAATATATAAAAAAAAATTAACTATCATTATTTTATAAATATTTATCGTATTTAAAAATATAAGACGTAATACATATCTTTGGCTGTAGCCTCGATGCTTTTATAACTTAGTAGGCAAAGTAGTCAAATAGACATTTGGCTTCTTATGAAACTGTGACTCCAAGATAAGATTGATTGGTTTCGGTAAAATTAAAATGAATTACAAATGATTTTTTACCCTCAAGCGCATGATTGAACGATAATATTAGTAACAAGTGGGGCTAGGAAATAATAAAAGTCTTCGATCCTTTACTAATATACGTCTTTATTAAGTGTTCCATTTTTTTTAAAATATAATTTACATCAAATTTTTTAAAAGTAAATTTAATAAAAAAATTAAATGTGCCTATATTATTGTTTATTCGTAGATTCTTCCCACTTTTTTAAAAAAATAGACACGATATTTCTGAGAAATAGAAAATTGAGGAAAGAATTTTATCAGTTTAAATGAAATGAAAGAAAATTATAGTTATATCAAAATAAAGCAGGGTTTGAAAAATTCTTCAAAAGTAGCAAAAAATTCTTAAAATAAAATTTGCTATATAAATTTATAACAAATAGGGTAATCCACTACAACATAATAGTTCCATTAAATTTACAAGTAGAAGATAAGGTAAAAGAAAACTATAAAATTGAAACTACCTTATAACATTTTTGCAAATTATTTTTGTTTTGCTAAAAATTTATTATCTTAAATATTTGTTTTATTATATGGATATTATTGCGAATCTCTCGATTCTTTCATTCATTATTTTAAAACTAATTCAACTATTTCTATTAATAAATTATAAAATAATGATAAAGATTTAACAAAACTAGACTCATTTAAACAGTGCACTTTTTTGAGAAAATGAAAAAAAATCCATATAATAGCAGCTAAATGATAATCCTCAAAAAATATATTGTTATAATATTTTAAATGTTAAAAAAGGAATGATAACTTTTTATATAAAATATATGAATAATAAGAGAAAAGTCATAACTTATATGATAAAAAAAAATATTTTTTCTGACGGCTTCCTTTTTTCATTATTTTACAGATCGTTCTTAAAAATCAACATTAGCCTCGTGGGCAAAATACCTACTTGGTTTTATGGCCTGTCTGCCCCTGTGTCTGTATAGCCACTTATAAATTCGTGGCTTCTTTACATTTTACGGTAATCTTCTTATTGGTACGTTTGTGCTGGGTGACAGAAATATTTTCCATTTAATATGCTTAATTTATTTTGTTATTGTATTCTTTTCATGTTGCATCATTATTTAATTCTATAATCTGGATAACTTAGCTCATAATTTTTCGGGTAATAATAGATGCATGACGATTTTAATAAAATATGGTAGCTGCTTAGCAAATTGATTTATGACGATCAACGTAAAGTATCATTACCCTATTTTAAAATATCTAAACTCAAGTTAAATTTTTATTTAACTTAAAAATAGTAAATTTTATTTAAACTAATCTAGATTTTTGAATATATAATTATATCACGTTATCATATATAATAAATTTAATTTCTATGGTTTATTTCATTTTTGTATAAATTTATATTAAATCTTTTTATTTAAAATGATACAATTTGTTGGATGACTAAAGTATAAAAAAAGTATTTAGATACTTTTAAAAAAACTTTTAGTCAAAATCAAAATGTATCAAGTTTATACAGGGTTGCCAGGTCAAAAATTGCGGGAGAAATTCGGTATTATGCGGGAGATATATGAAAATTGCGGTAGAAATATAAAAATTGCTAAAAAAAATTTTGCGGGCCTCTTCGGCCGTGATTTTGAATTGACTTAATTATCCGCCTATTATCTTTTAAAATTAGTTTATATAAATACAAAGTCGGTTACAATTTTTCAAAATAAATTAACATCTATTAAAATATATTAATTTATAAAAAAAACCAACGATCTTTTTTAAATATAAAAGAATGTAAACAAGATAAAATTTTATAAAAAAAACGATTTTTATTTTACAATTAAAAAAATATTTTGTGCGAATGTCCCACAAAACGACCGCAATTGGAAATCTACCGTGTGTGTGTATATAACATTATAGGGATAGGGGCTTAATTATCACAAAAAAATGAGCAAGGCTATCATCAATGTCTTAGGACCTAAATCCAGGAGGTCAATTGACGATTTGAAAGATGGGCATACATATGCAATTCTAACAGATGCATCTAATAAGGGAAATATTATCTGCTATTTTAACAAAATTAAGGTCATTTCAATAAAACTATTAAATTTTTTCCCCTCAAATAGTGAAAAATCCAAAGACATAGCTAACCATATAATGGTAAATATAGCAGATTCGAGATTATCAATAAATTACATGTCAGCTTTCTGATCTGATAATGCCTCAGTGAATTTGGTAAAAGCAGAGTGTATTTACAGAATTGACAGCACAATGTTGGTTGCGATATGTTCCTAATACCCGCCATCGATAGAATTTTAAAATTTTATAAACCTTTAAAAAAATATTTCTTAAATAAAGATTATAAAAGCTGTCCTAACATTTGGAAAATTTTTTTCAATAGTGAATGGCAGAGGTATATTTAAGAATGATTTATATAGGAAATCTACTACATGCTGTTAATGTGTAGTTGCAATCAGAAGAATCTTGATTCACAAAATTATGCTGCAGATGTGTTCATCTTTTCAGTTAAAAATTGACAATAAATTTTATGGTGCCATTGCTTAAACTTAATTATATTTTATTTGAGATTTAAATAATAGAACTAAATGGTTACTTTCCAGGCGCGTACGCAGGAATTTGGTCTGGGGGGGGGGGATAATAAAAATTTTATAAAATATTATAGTTAAAAATATTAATCATAAATTTATTAGGACTAATAACTTTTCTAATACACACTTTTAAATTAATGTGAATTATAAAAAAATTATATATATAAACCGGCATTATAAAAACTATAAAATATCTGTGAATTATAAAATATAAGCACCATATGAATCATTTAAATGACCCATAATTGAAATTTGAATATTTTTATAAAATTTATATATAATGTTGGAAATATAAATTAACCCACAAAATGTTTCTTAGGAATAATTGTATTTTGTATGTTTTGAGCTAATTTTTCAATTATCTCATCCTTGTTTGGCGTTAAATGTCTATGAATATTCAAAAGATCCAAACCATTCAATCTACTTTCAGAAGTTGTACTTCATAGGTATGTTTTTTAGAGACTTGCAGGCCCAGCCCCCAGGCCGGACCGTATTTTAATTTTTTTAAATATACCCGGGCCGGGCCCGAAATTTAAAAAAAACACCCGGGCCGGGCCTGAAAATTTATTTTAAAAAAATATCTGGGCTAGGCTGTATATTTTAAAACCAAATATTTGAAATCGCCATTATTAGCTATAAAAATCAAAAATAAATATAATTTATTTTTAAAAAATTCAGGCTGGCCTGAAAATTTTATTTTCAAAAAACCAGGGCCGGGCCTGAAATTTTTTTAAAAAAAAAACCGAGCCGGGCCAAAAAAATTTGAAAAAAAAATCCGGGCCGTGCCCTGCAAATGGTATCCCTGCAGGGCTCTGTTATTCTTCTTAAAAAAGAGAATGTTTTCTCATTAATTTACTAATGGGAATATATATATAACCATTTTAATACATTGGGAATATAATCTAAAATGTGTTTGAAATAATGCAAAGCATCCATAGCATTTTCTGGGACTGTATCAACCGTAGTTATTCAGCTAATAAGGCATCATAAGATACTTTAACATCTTCATGATAAAAATTTAACAAATATTTTTTTTTCTATCACCATGGAAAAAGGATGGGAAGGCTTTTGAGGAAGTAATATCTGCAGATTGGTAAGTGCTGCATGATGAATTAAAAACCATTCATTTATTTGGGTTATAAATGTATCTAAGAGAGGGGATTTTGTTCTATAATACTCTTCTACTGATCCTATATTAATGTTTTGACGATTAGCTTGCTTGCTGCATGTCGAGGGGGACAAATATTAAACACGTATAGCTCTGCTTTTGACTCAACAATAACATATAAAATATGAATCAACATTAGCTCCAATTTCCTTGAGTTCTAATAAAATGCTCTGCGCTATTCTCATCTTCTTATTCAAGTCAATGTCATGTTTTTGAAAAGTATAAAATAATTGTATAATTAAATAATACATTCTAATGAGAAAAAAAATTTGAATAAGTATTGAATCCAATAATTTTCTTGCTTCTGAGGAAATATTTCTTTCAAGCCATTGTGATATTTCAGTAATAGCATTAATAATCGGCTCTTCCAACTCCATAAAAGCTGTTACTGCTTGATGGCGGAGACTAGATCTCGTTGGACAAGCTTGCAATTTCTTCCCCCCTGTTGGACAAGGAGTAATTATTATTTGACTAGAAATTTACATAAATATTACGCCACTAAAATTTGAAAATAATAGGTAAATATTACGCCAAGGAAAACTTGAAATCGAAATTAATTGATAAAATAAAGTAGATGAATGTGAAAAATAAATGTAATTAAACATATATATATATGAGATAGGAATAAATATTAACAAATATATAAATTAATATTAACAATAATATTTTTAAAATATAATCCGGCATCTGCAATTTTTGGCTTTGGGAGGGAATTTGTCCCCCTGACCCCCCCCCGCTGCGTACGCGCCTGTTACCGTCGTTGAGATATTTATAAAATTCCTGGCATGACATAATATATATCTGTTTAACCATAAACTCGGCCTCTAATGTTGTTAAAGCAATCCGATTTCTTTCCTTTTTCCAGGCAGTCCTCATCAGGCAAATGTGCTCGGATGAGGCATTAGAATTAGGTAAGGAGAAGACATACTCGCATTTTTTCAAGCATGGGAATTTATTGTTATTACGAAAAAATTCTACCCATTTCTCCTCTGCTTTTATACCATCTAACTTTAAGTATTTTGGCGAATCATAAAAATAAGAGAGAATTAATCTCCTCAACACGACATCAATTTCTTTCGGTATTTTTAATATATTCTATTTATTAAATTATAAAAACCATCAATTGATGGTTTCTGTTCCAAGGTCATAATATTTATACATTTGTAAATAGAGTTAGATTGAAAATATTCTAAAATTGTGTTAATAAAAATATGTCCTTCATTTAAAAATGTATTAATTAGAGTATTATTTGAACATAATATAATTTTAGCAATAGCCCCATAAAATTTATTATCAATTTTTAACTGTGGAGATGAACAGAGCTGTAGCATGATTTTGTGAATCTTTTTTAATAAAGAATATTCTGATTGCAGCTGAATATTAACTGCATGAAGTAGATTTCCTACATGTGAAACGAATTACAAATATGCTTCTGCCATTTCGTACTCGAATTTAAAATCTTTATTTAAGAAGTATTTTTTTAAGGGTTTATAATATTTTAAAATTCTATCGATGGCAGGTATTAATGACAACCACATAATAGGTATATATCGCAACAACTCAAACCATTCCAAGTCAGACCACTTCACCAACTCTTTTTATTCATTAACTCTTTTAGTTGATGAACTAAATTTACTAAAACATATCATCACAATGATTTCGACATCCACAGATAGTACATTCATTGCCTTCTTGCAAGAATTATGTAGTATATGGCATATACAGCCAATTGGTATTAATTCATTATTGTGCTGCCTCAATTCGATAATTTTGCCAAAATTTACAGAGGCATTATTAGCGCAGAAAGCTAATATGCAAATCATTGATAACCCTGAATCAGCTATATTTACCATTATGTGGCTAGCTACATCGTTGGATTTTTCACTATCCGAGGTAATAATTTTAACAGTTTTTTGAAATGTTCTTATTCTTGTTGAAATAGCCAAGGATCGAGGGAAATGTTTTAATATTTCCCTTATTAGATGCATCTGTTAAAATTGCATATGGATGCTCATCTTTCAAATCGTCTAGAATTGACCTCTAGGATTCAGGTACTAAAACACTTGTGACAGGGGCGTCGCTAGCCTTTACAATCTCAGGGGGCTCAACTGAAAATTTTTTATGGTGCTAATTTGCGGGCCTTCGGCCGGGTTATATATTAATATATTTTTAAAAATTACTAAACTCTTGAAGGATTATTCTTATTTTCATATTTTGTTTTTTATTATACTATACGTACAAAATAAACTAGAATATAAATAATTAAGACTAGAATATTGATCATTAAGACTAGAATATAAATATCATTAAGACTAGAATATAAATATCATTAAGACTAGAATATAAATATCATTAAGACTAGAATATAAATATCATTAAGACTAGAATATAAATAATTAAAACAATACATTTCTACAAATTTTTCCATACAAAATCGATTTACTACAGTATAAAGTATTTTAAATTGCTGATATAAAAAATTTCGCGTCTAAAGAATTACAAGTGATAAAACCGATTAATTAATTCATACATATGCCTCAATTGTTAATGTTTTTAAAAACCCCATAAGGCAATATAATTCTAAGCAACTAACATTAACAAAAGGTCATGAAACTAATATAACTCTCTTACCATTTTAGACAAAGTTTTATAGAATGGACTAATAAGGAAAAATTTATAGGCCTAACCAAATCAACAATTTTTGAAGAAGAGAATATAAACGACCAATCCAAATCATAAAACTATATGGTGGTTAGAGCTTCCTCTTAGATGACATGATGGAAGCTAGATAAGTAATCGAGAAAATTATTGTGAGATATTAAATTTCTAAAAGATTATCTTCCATTTTTAATCCTATTTAAACTACTGGACAGTTGATCATTGTTGCTCATCTTAATTATGCAATCATATGCTCTCAGCAGCTGTAGTAATAATCTTAAATTACATAGCCACACAAATAATAGATGCTGGTTAATTTGCAGTCATAACCATGACATACACGATGTTAACTCATATCAAAATCTAGTATGTTAAATATATTGATAAAGCAAAAACACCTAAAATCTTGGAAGAAATTATGTTTGGAAGAAATAATGCAAATATATTGAAGCCTTGAGTTATTTACAATTTAAATGTTCCAAATTAGAAATAAATAATTTGGGAGCTAGAAAATAAGTACCATAGTGATATGATGAAAGCAATTAAGATCTTATATATTATTGTATTGTCAATGTATTCAAATATTTTTAATTAAATTTTTCAACTTTGGTCATATCAAAAGAAAGCATTTAATGTTTTTTCCTGATTTTTTCCTATCTCAAAAAGAATTTTTTTTATAAGCACCATGTCTTTTAGCTAATTTTGGATATGAAAAAAAAATTTATAAAATAAATATTAAACGATATATTTACTCGCAGATACTAACGCCTAAAATTGCGTTTCAAAAATTATAAGGTTAAATTATTTATAAAATAAGTTCTCTACGCCGGCTAGTCATTATTGCATATTCATCTATAATGTGATCTATAGGAATGGTATTAATAATATTTTTTTCTATGCTCAATAGAGCCAACGAATTTAATCGTTCCTGATTCATTGTCGATCGAAGATATGTTTTCACCCGTTTTAATGCTGAAAACGATCTTTCACATGAGCAGGAATTAAAAGGTATAGTTAACGCAATTTTAAGGCAATTAAATATACGAGGGAATATATCTATGGGTAAGATTTTTATCAAATCTATTATTGATTTACACGTAGATTCGTGTTTTTTATTATAGGTTAAAATATAAGCCTTTAATATTATGTATTCTTCCATTGGATCAGGAAGATTATAATGTAAGATAAATGGTTTAATGATATCATTATTTAAAAAAAGGGGGAGGAGGGATGTAAAGCATTTATAGCTATTAAAATATCTGTGTTTTCTTGGCAAAATCTCTTTTTTAATTCATTTATCATAATATCCAAAATTGGATAAAAGACATGACACTTATGAAAAGTTTCTGTTTGATCAGAATGATTAGAAGAAACAATATCATCTATTTGAATATAATTATTCAAAATGGTAGAAGGTATATTTGCTCTTTTATTTGTGATTTTTATATTATATAAATTGCAAAATTTATTTACTTCGGTAAATAATGAAGAAAAATACGAATTATTTCTTAAATTTGACAAAGAACTGATAAGAGACTCAATAAGAGCCAATGCTGTTGATATGTCCGAATCTGATTTTTGCAAAAAAATAGAAATATTGGAACACATAGATAATAATTCTTGGAATATAAACATACACATAATTGTATCATATTGTAAAAGAATATATAAAATTCCCTTTGCTTTCACCACATCACCATGATCTATATTTTCTAGATAAGAAATAATTGCAGGGAAAGTCATTTTTACTGCCTCTATAGTTCTAATATGGGATCCCCAACGTGTAGGGCATCAATATTTTTGGATTCTAACCCTAATCTTAATTGCAAATCAAGAAATTTATTGTGATGGATAACAGATATTGAGAAAAAAACATGAATACCTTCTAATACATTAAAAAACTTTATAGATTGAGGTATTGATTTGCAGGCAGAGATCAGTACAAGGTTGAGTTTATGCGCATAGCAGTGCACATATATAGCCATTTTGTGATTTTGGCGATATCTTTCCTGGACTCCTGCAAGATGCCCTTTCATAACACTTGCACCATCATATGCTTGAGCAACGCAAATTGCATTTATGGAATTGTTGTTTAAGGTTGTTATTAATGTCTTCGTTAATGACTCTGCATCTAAGTCTTCAACTTTTTGAAAAGATATAAAAGATTCCTTTGGTGTTTTTGTTTTATCAACATATCTAACACATATACTAAATTGCTCATATGAGCTAACATCACGATCAGCCATGACAGCAAAATAGCCTGACTCCCTTCTGATGCTATGTACTTTACGATTAAGGATTTTGTGATTGAGGTGAGCAATAATGAGCATTGGTGGTTTATATGCTATTAAAAATGGATCATACTCTTTCAAACAGTTTAATATTTCACAATAATTTCCCTGATTATTGCTTGTCTTACTTTCATAATGACCTCTAAGGGGAAGTTCCAACTTACCACATAGTATTATAATTTTGAATAATCGTTTCAAATATTCTCTTCTTTCAAGTATTGTTGATTTAGTTAGAGCTATAAATTTTTCTTTAATGGTGCCTTCTATCAAAGATTGTTTAAAATGGTTCCAGAGAATTACATTCGTTGCATGACCATTTGTTGCTCCGTGAGTTGTTAAGTATTCTTTTACCCTACGAAATTTTTGATAACCTTGATTAAAAAGGTATCCTTTTTGAGGTTGAGTGGGAAAATTACGACAAGGAAAACAAAAAATAGAGTTTCTGGTTATGCTATATTCAATCCAGGGAAAGGATTTGTACCACTGAGTTTGAAAGCATCGTTTATCTTTACCCATTCCAATATATGGATAGGCACCTAATATAGGTTGCATAGGACCAGTTGTTTTAGTACCCAGATCTAATTCTTCTGAAAAAAGTGATAAAAATTTATAAATGAATTAAAATATTATTGGTTTTAGAAAATTATGACAAATATTATATATTTGAAGAAATACATTGTTAAAATAAAAATAATACTTGTATAAGCTCTTCTAAAAAAGTGACAAATATTAATATAAAAATTAAAATATTATTGCTTTTATGAAAATTATGACAAATATTATATATTTGAAGAAAAATATTGTTAAAATGAAAGAAATACTTGAATAGTTGTTATTTTTAGATTGGGCCAAACGTATAGCTTCTATTATTTTATAAATAAATATAAAATATCTTATAAACAAATTAATTTACTTATTTTCTTTCCTTCTGTATCTACATTATTTATAATCATGTCATTCATAATACTTTATTCATTATTTAATAAATCTAAATAAGGTTAATTTTAAAATGTATTTCATCAAAAGTAATTTGTTGTAATAAAACTTCTTTATCCAATATACCTTTATATTTACTGCTATCAAGAATCTGGCTTTTGTAGTATCCTCTTCAGAATCCATGCCTAAAATTTTATATTTAATTATATTTAAAAAATTAATACCTTCAGAGATATCTATACATTGGATCTCACATATATCTTCAGATTGAGCCACACATATTGCTTCAATTATTTTATAAATAAAATATCTTATATATAAATTAATTTACCCATTTTCTTTCCTTCTGTACCTACATTATTTACAATCATGTCATTCACAATACTTTCTTCATTATTTAATAAATCTAAATAAGATTAATTTTAAAATGTATTTCATCAAATGTAATTTGTTGCAATAAAACTTCTTTATCCAATATACCTTTATATTTACTGCTACCAAGAATCTGGCTTGTTGTAGTATCCTCTTCAGATTCTATGTCTATATAAAATTTTATATTTAATTTAATTATATTTAAAAAATTAATACATTCAGAGATATCTGTACATTGGATCTCACATATATCTTCAGATTGAGCCACACATAGTGCTTCTATTATTTTATAAATAAAATATCTTATATATAAATTAATTTTTTACCTATTTTCTTTCCTTCTGTACTTACATTATTTACAATCATGTCATTCACAATACTTTCTTCATTATTCAATGAATCTAAATAAGATTAATTTAAAAATGTATCTTTTCAGTGTATTTATTTTTGTAAATATAATATATATAAAGTAATATTCCATATTATAGTGTCCATTTTTCAAAAATATATATAAATAAGCAAACTATTCTAAATTTATTTAGCATTTTTATTAAAATATAGTTTATTATTAAGTTAGGATAAACAAATAAATATATAATTATCAAATTATGAAAGAATGATTGAGTAAACAATTTACCCAATATTATCTTAATTAATGTAAAAAGAATAATAGTGTATGATTTTTTAAGATATTGACTATTTATATAGAAAATATTTACTATGTTTTATTTAGCTAATATTTTGACATCACCTTATGTGATAATAGAAAAATTTTAAAAAAATTTTCCATTTATAGTGTCCTGCTCCTGAAAGGTGAAAATATATTGTAAAGCAATTTTTGCTTAACTTGAAAACTAAAGAAATCAATATTGTTTAATACTCTGGTGAAAAATGACTTAAATAGAAATTCTATAGAAATTAGGCAAATTTGGGAGGAAATAGGAAAAACATATAACTTCAATTATGATCAAGTGAAAAAGAAACCTTCCATTAAAATAGATAATTAACTAATAAATTTTTATTTTTTCTTAAATGTCCAAAGTGATTTGTTATTAATTTGTGAAAATTTTAAGGAATTTTTTCAAAACATTTTGGATACAGACTTATATATAAATTTATTTACCTATTTTCTTTCTTTTAACATTTTTGTTTTTAATATTTATATCTTTTAAAACTACAATTAATCGTCTTTCAACTAAATCAAAGTTTGAATTTTAAAAACTGTATAAAATATACTTTGTTCATCACCAGCTTTATTATTGAATCCTCTTCTTTGGTCCTCAAGATTATTGCTACTTTCATTTTTAGTTTTTTTCATAAAGTCTTTAATGCTTAAATTTTTAAATCGCAAAGTCATTTTATTTAAATAGTGATTTTAAACTCGGCTTACAATATTAAATTTGTTAATTTTCAATTAATAAATCTTTATTTTATTTAATTAGGGTTATATAATAATTTAATTAATAAAAATCAATTAAACTTCAACTGTTAATGCTAAATTGATATTTAAACATTATGCATGGTATTGATATTTTATTTTTAACAAAGAATTTGATTGCAAGCTGACATAGTGAAAATATAATTTATATGTATTAATCTAATCTAATAAAATTTAGATAGTCTTATTAATTTTTAAATAATAAAATTATCTATATATTACTTAATAGAATTATAATAAACAGGGGACAATCAAAAAAAGTTCTTTTTAGTTTAAGGGGATATTAAGGAACCATTAAGAAAAATTTATTTTTTTGCTTCAGGGGGCTATTCCAATTTTTCAGGGGGCTTGAGCCTCTGCGCCCCCCCCCCCCTAGTGATGCCACTGACTTGTGATAGCCTTGCTCATTTTTGTTCTGCCACAAGTAAGGTTTGCACTTATATTGGAGTCGTAAAACATCATGAGAAAAAGATTCGACCCACATTGTGATGATATAGCTCTGTGAATGTTGAACTACATGATAGATGTATACGATTTCCGCAAATGTAGTTGCATCTGTATTATATATTATTTTTGGAGAATATTTTTGTATTGCAATCGATGTTGATACACTCTCCTGTACTGACTTATATGAATGAAATGATGATGATTTATTATTGGATAAAAATAAAACAGGATAGAAAGAAATTTACAAACTAGACATGTTTTTCGAATAAATATTTAAAATTTATTTTAAAGATATAAAAATAATCAATTAATGTCTCTTTAAATTATTATTTATATATTAAAAACGTTAAAATACTAAAAAAAATAATTGCGGGAGAAATTAAAAAATTGTGGTAGATTTTTGCGGGAGATTTCCAATTGCGGTAGTTTTGCGGGAGAGAGATGTCTGCGTGTAAACTAAAAAATTGCGAGAGTCTCCCGCTGATGGGGGGAGATATAGCAACCCTGATCTTGTATCGTATATATTATTGAAATTTTTCTTAAATATCAAGTATCTTGTATCAATACAAAAGTTAAAAAAACATCTGTATCCATATACAATTTTCTTAAAATTTGCCTAACCCTGCCAAGTACTTTGATGAGATTAAGTGCCACCTTATTTTCCACGTCCATTAGGTGTTTCCATCATGATTATAAAAACAATGTTTGTTAGGTCGCGTTTTTTTTAAATGACATTTATTGGTGATAACTTTGGAGCGTGGTTGAAGTCCACGAGAGAACTTGCAGTATAAGGATAATAGATATATGTAATGGGTTAGCCGTAATCAACTCAAGTGGAAGGTTTAACAGCACTACAACCTAAACTGATAGCTATAAATATGCTTAGTTGTTCACCAGTAATTAGCAGGTCAGGATTGGCACTTATGGCTTCAAACTATTCATAATTAAATTCTATTTTATTTATATATTTAAAGGGATTGAAGGATCATTCATTAGTAAAACGACTTCTATTTCTAACATAATCCTTATTTTAAAATAATCATATAGATTTTCCAAAATAACGAATTCAGGATTGTTGTTTCTTTGATCATAATTCTTTAATCTATGAATAATATTTATAATAATGTTTATTAATATGTAAATTGTATTAAATAAAAATAACCTCGTGCCCTTTTCTTTCCATGATATCTCGTGTTTTCTCCTTGTATAATTAGAATTGTAGAAAACCTATTTAAATTTTGCTCATCAGCTGTTTATTGAAATGATATCACTTTAATTTCTATTATTCGCATTGAAAGAATTCTGTATTTTAGATATTCACGGGTATGAATGATTATCAGGTTAACAGGCCTATATATCAAAGAGAAAAGTTTAATGATTGCTATCCAGAAGTTTCTAGTCCCACTTTCTCGGAAAAGCTTGAAAATGAGATTATATCATATAAAGATATAATAAACAAAAAAAGTTATAAAAATTGCTTTTGTCTATTAATAACAAATATATTTCCTTGTATCACATGGTTAACAACTTATAATGTAAGAAATTTTTTGTTAAGAGATATAGTTGCAGGATTTACAGTTGCTTTCATGCATATTCCTCAAGGTTAGATAATATAATTTTAATAAATGATATTTTTCAAATAGGCATGGCTTATGTTGCTCTTATTCCATTACCACCAGTTTATGGACTCTATACATCATTTTTTCCTGTTATAATATACTGCATATTTGGAACCTCCAAACATATATCAATAGGTGCAAATACTTTAGTAAAAATTAGTTTCTTTGAAAAAAACTTATTAATAAATTTTTATATATTATTTTAATTTTTAAGTCATCATTCAACTCAATAAAACTTGGAATATGGCTTCTACAAGGGTGAGGTTACACAAATGCTTCATTAGATTTGTGAATGGGGGGGGGGGTTACATACATTTGAAATAATTGCTTCAATCTATCATTTTTCATAAATTTTTTAACTCTTATGTTTAACATATAATCTTATAACCAGACCTGTCCATATTAGTAATCTACAAAGCCCTTCCTACCAATAAGCATGGACTTTGAGTAAAACCCTTCAAAGGGCATCCAAAATTGGGACCTGAGCCTTTGAATACTGTGGACTTTTTCTTGGGCTTGGGGTATGCTATAAAAGGCAGTCTAACCCAAATCCCAATCCAAGGCTTAAAAATTAAATATTAATTGTTTCATCAAAATATTGATCAAAATCACAGGTCATTTTTCATCTAACACATTTCACTTATCATTTTTGTAATTTTCATTTCCCAAATTGACAATTTTCGCTAACGTGATTTGTAATTGTGACTAGGGTTACCAAGTAAAAATTTTTTAAACTGCGAGAGATTGGAGAAATTTTTATTTTGAGGAGAAATATGAAAATTGCTAAAAAAATTGTGAGTTGCTGGGGTTGTGAAATGGCTTAGTTATTTTCCCCTCCCTCACACACATTAACTCTTATAATTACTTTATATAGATAGATATTAACACATGTTTTGTAATATTTTTCAAAATAGTTAATAAGAGAATAATGCTTACATATTTTTTCAAAGCTTTAGGATTTATTGTTATTATGGAAAAATTGTGCCCATTTCTCTAATGTTTTTAGACTGTTTATTTTGGAGTATACTGGATATTCATAAAAAAAGAATGTATAACAATCTCCTCAAACAAGATATCAATATCTATCAGTATTTTTAAGCACTCTAAAGTAATGTTACTAATGGCATTACCTTTTTTGAAGAATAGGAATGCTATTCACCTTTTAGAGGTAATAGTAATGTGTTTCTTTTTTTTTTGAGTAACGGTAATGTAGAACGTTACTCGTTATTCAAATTTTTCTTATTAAATATGAAAAACATTGTATTATAAAATTAATAAATTTTTTAAATTATAAATAATTTAAGTTGAGTTTTTAATTCACATCAACCACCAAATTACTTTATTTTTATTTTAAATTTTCATCAAGATTGTTAATCTAATTAATATCGAAATCAATCAAGATTTAATCTAATTGATATTGAAATCAATTAATGTATGTAAATTTATATTCTTATTAATATTATAATTTATTTTATAAAGAATATAATATCAATTATACATTTTTTTTCAGATGAAGATGAGTAAAGCCTGCCTTGGCTTTAATACAAAACATTTTTTTACACCAATAAAGAAAACCTAGGGTATAAAATTTACACTTTGTAAGGTAAATTATGTCCTAACTCAAATATTTTAACCTCAATTGTGGAATAAACATGTGCATCCTCTAAACTATGCAGCTAAGGAAAAAGTGGGATATCTGATTAAACTGATTATAACAAGATGGGACTCTTTCAATATCCATGAAATTAATATAGTCTAATTGCCACAAATTTGACGAATCTTGTGAAAAATCTAACTTAAATAGATTTCTAATAATGACAAGTCGTTCCTAGAGAAATATTGTATGCTTATATATATATATGATTTTATAAGTTATGGAACCTGTTCTTATGGCTCCTAGAGAGAGAAGAAAAAATGCATTTGGGAACTCTCTCTCCCATGATAACTATATTAATATTAAAAATATGGCTTTAAGTAATTTCATTTTCTAAGGCACTTATAAATGCAATTATGCAAGACAAAGATAAAAGAATATACAGTTAAAGTATTGTTCACAATTTATATTTTGATAATATTTTATTTCAATTGAATTTATCTTATCAACAATAATTCACTCAATATATAAATCAGATTAGCTCTGATAAAACTAGATGTCAATGAAGGATTGAAGTTATTACCTGCTTGAGAAAAGATCTTGACAAAGAAAATGCAGACTTGATTTTAAAAAACAACACACATATAGATTATTTTCTAATAAAGAAAAATGGATGAGGATCTGATTGAAGATTTTTATGATGATAAATTAAGCTTTTTTCAAAATAAAGATTATTCTTTAATTTTTAATAAATTTTCCCAATTAAAATTTTTATATATTCAATATAGTGCTTAAACGTTACTACAAAAAAGAAACGCGTTACCGTTACTCGTTATATCTGAAAAATGGAACGCGTTACCTTTACTCGTTACCATTTTACAAAAGGAACGCGGTTACCGACTTTTCAAAAAAGTAACGGGCTACTCGTTACTTAAAAAAATTAAATGTTATATATAATGCAAAAAAATATTTATTTTTTTTCCGACAATATATAATAAAATAAAATACAAAGAGAACATATAAGATAAGATCTTTTTATAATAAAATTTTCATATATAATTATAATATGAATAAAATTATACAAAAATAATATATTGTAAGATAACATCTTTATGTAACAATTTTTTATTTATTTTTAACAACAATTGATTTTGAAATTTTTTAACCGATAAACATGAGCACTTAGTACTCAACACAGCTTTCGCCGTGCTAAACACTCGTTCAATTGGCGCAGAAGATGGGAGAGTGGTGGTATATTTAATAAACAAAAATTTCAATTCTGGGAATTTATTAAAAATATTTAAGGAAATATCTTTATTTTGAAAAAAGCTTGAAAGATCATCTTCACAGAGATCTTCATTCATTTCCTGATCAAAAAAATATTTATCATTATTTGAAAATATTCTAATGTGTGTTGGATAAAGGAATCAATATTAATTCATTCTTTACCTTCAAATGTTTTTTAAGTTTGAGCTACTTGACATTGACGAAATATTTGCATTGGGACATAATTTACATTTACAAAGTGTAGACTTGGTAGTTGGTACCATTAATTTTCTTAATTGGTTTAAAATGTAATTCAAATTGGGGCCAGGGAAGGGTTAAATCTTCTTCATCTGAAGAAGTAATTACTATGGACATAATATTCTTTTAAAATAAATTATGAATTAATTAATAATATCATTATATTAACTTTGACTTTTGATTGAATATTAATTTCGACTGATAATTTAACAACGAGCATTTAAAAAAAAATGTTGGAAGTGGTTGATATGAAAACTCGGCTTAAATTATTAATATTAAGAATTAAAAAAAAATAAAAGTAATAATACAATAAAATATATTTTTCTTTTTATTGATATTTTTTAAGAAAAAATATAAAGTAACGAGTAAAGTAACGTTTTGCGTTACCGTTACTCAAAAAAAAGAAATGCGTTACCGTTTTTCGTTACCTTTAGATGAAGGTAACGAATGGCGTTACTTTTTTGGCACTAATATTATAAGTGGAGTTCCATCTGGTTATATTGGGACATATAAAATAAGGGCTAATATTGTTTTCTATAATCTCACCTGAATTTTGAGATTTATTTTGTCTATTCCATATATTTTGGCATTTAGCTAATGTTGTGCTATATATCTAATGATTAAAATATTAAATATTATAATTAAAATTATAGTTTTACCCTCTGATATTGTTTGCACTTCAAGACTCTATTGGCATCTACAGTTGCAACAAGATTCATTGTGTGACTGGCACAACATTGATGATTAGGTAAAATATATTATTCTGATATTTCAAAATCCTGAGCAGTAATATAAAGATCTGATATTGATATTAGTGCAAATGCTAATTCATCTTCCAGATCCAGATCATCAATGAATTAACCAATATTTTCAATTGGCTTGAAAACTCTATCATAAATAAGTATTATTATGTGTATATTTATAATAAAATAAACCTAAAAGACTTAAGAAAGTTTTTTGCATTGTCTGTAATGGTCTTTGAGATTTTATTTTGTATGCAATAATCTTTTGCTATATCTTGTAAATTTTTTGCTATTATGATTACCAGTCATTTTTTTACAAGCCAACGCTACATTTTTTCTTTTCAAACTTGTTGGATCTATATAATGTGCATTGACTCCTATGTATTAACTAAAAATTATCATTTCTTAAAACTGCTCAAATAATTTCTTCGTAATTAAATTATTATACAAATTTAAATGTTAGCTATACCGGTGATAAGCACTCCAACAATCTGCTTTTGTGCATATTAGTGATGGTTCCATTAAACTTTTTATGATTTCTTTCTTTTCATTTTCTCATCTTTGGGAAATTCTAGCAACCACTGTTGGCAAATTATATTTTTTTTGTGGAGCTAATGTTTTGATCATTTTTTATAAATGAAGGATTTTTAACAATTGAAAATGGCTGAATGCTATCTATAATAAAATCAGTTATTAAATCATCTAAAGTGGTTTGGGTTAAAGTCTGAGGTCTCTTGGGAAAAATATCAATGGACGATGAGCCTAGTCCATTTCTTTAATAGATTTCTTCTCCTTCCCTTTTTTTAAAATATTTTGATTAAGAGTGTTTGATGTTTTCTCTTAAAATTTAAAATTACAATTGTAAACATTTATTTAGTATCTATACACTTAAATGTTTTCCAAAGTTGCAAGTTGAGGTAATGCTAACTGAAATTTGTGTATTTTTTGGTAGACATGGCAAACATTTTACTATCAGAGATTTGTTTTCTTTATTTTGAGATATTATTTTAGAATATGTCTATAAATTGGCCGTGGAAGAATGTCGTCATTGATTATATCATCTTCATCAATATTATTCTAGAACAAAAATTAATATAATAATTAATATAATATAATAAAATACCAATTCCATTGCAAATAAAAATAGCAAATTCCTTGAAATGGATTGTAATAAATATCAGAATTTGCTTGTTATTGATAACTCGGACATAATATTTAATGAATATTTATATATATATTTATATATATATTTATATATATATTTTTATATATAT